CCATCGAGGAGCCACCACCGACCGACGCCGAGCACTTGAAGGCACATCCCCCCGAGCAGCATCGGAGCGCCGCGACCGTCTCCACCTTCTACGCCAACTCGGATCTGTATCGCCAATATGTGGGATACAAAGCAAGCGAGGAGATTTGGCATCAACGGTTAGGGCATCCTGAAAATTCAAGACTATTCGACACTATTCATGCGAATGTCCTAGACAAAGATGTACTTCTACTACTGGATGGACGTAAACTTCGACGTACCTGCTTTATCTGCCCGGAAACAGATCTTCCTCGCCAACAGTTCCCGTCGCATCACAGCCCGAGCGCACTAGAGTATGCTCCACTCGAAAATGTATACAGCAATATACTGTATATCCCCCGAGAAGTTGGTCAGGCCTACCTCAACTTGCTGCAACAGAACGGGAGGCAGACACGAAGCAAAAATGTTTTCAGTCAGACGGGACGATGGAATGCCAGTCACAGCGATTTAGGGACTACCTCGCAGAGATAAGAATGAAGAGGTGCGTCACCCTCCCCTACGCTCACCAACAGAACAGTGTAGCAGAGAGGATGAATTGAACCCTCCATAACACCATGAGAAAGCTGCTGACTGGGATGCGTCTGCCCAATTCGCAGTGGCCGGAGGCGATGAATCACACCGTCATGCTGCAGAACCTTCTGTCGTCAAGCTCCCTGCCAAACAACGCATCACCGCAGTTGCTGTGGACAGGGAAGCAGGGCAGCACAAAATTGTTACAAGTGTTTGGCTGCGTGGTACAGTACCATCCGCACACTGCACGAGCTGGACGATTTTCGCAGCGGGCAAGATGGGGTCTATACCTCGGTGTAGAAAAACATTACAAGGCATGGAAAATCTTCGACGTTGAAGACAAGGAAACAGTACCGGCACGTGATGTGATTTTCTACGAGAACCTCACCCTCAATCATTACCTAGAGAACATCGCAGCCAATCGGGACCCATCCAGTGGCTTCGATGGAGCACGCGCGATCACCTCGCCCGAAGAAGAAGCTGACCTGGAGGGGCAGAACGTCCCCGACGCGTTAGCAGCTGCAGGATTACTTCCTTACTGCTCTTTCGACATGCCGATGGACGACAAAAACCCTTACGAAAGCGCGAATGCCAAAGCCTACTACCACTTCACCGACACTGGTTACGTAACACCTCATAGCGTCGACACCAACGTTTCAGAACGGGTAGGACCAGATTTCGTACACAAACCAGCAAAGGGACCAAAGGCATGGACTGCCCTCAAGGGTGTACACACTCCTGCAATAGCGGCGGTGACTGTGGTTTTGGAGCGGCAAATGGCGGCACTTCGAATTGATGAAGGTGAACCGCTGGAGGAAGGAGTGCAGAAATTCTTCGACTTGTTGACACGGCTCGAAGGAGCTGACCTGAACTACAGTGACCTTCAAAAGAAGACCAAGCTGCTGGCCTTACTTCCGGACTCATGGTCCTCGCTCATCATCAACCTAAATCGAGATCTGCCCCGCCTCTCGCTCGAAGATGTGAAGCGGGAAATCTTACAAGAAGATTTCCGCCGTCGCGAATTGGCGGGTCCCGATGGTGCCGGAGTTGCAAGCATGGGCCGTGGGCACGGCCGTGGGCACGGCCATGGAAGGGGCAGAGAGCGAGGAGGCAGATTTGGCAGCAGTAACTTTAATGGAGGCTGTGGTAATGGAGGGTATGGCAGCAACAACAGCAACAATGGCTACGGGCGTGGGCGCGGTCGATTTGATGGCGAATGTCACTTTTGCCACAAGACCGGCCACATGTGGAGAGATTGCTTCAGATTGCTCGAAGGATGGACCCCTTCTCAAGGCCAAGAGGGCAGAGCAGCAAGGGGAGGTAGAGGCAGAGGTCGTGGAGGCTGTGGTGGTCGTGGAAGCGAAGCGGCAAGCATGAAAGGTGGAGACTACGAGACGGGCCCGAGTGAAGATCGATACCCGGGCCAATTCTTTTTTGTCTCCACGCAAGCGGCAGCTGCAGCAAGAGCTATGGAAGGCTTCGAGGAGCCAGCTACTGTGGGAAAGGTCACCCTTCATTCCCTGGACTTTTGGGTGATCGATAGCGGAGCCACCTATTGCATGAATCAAGACCAAGAGCTCAAGATTTCAAGCCCAAGGGAAGTGGATAAGTATTAAAATAGTGAAAATAGTAATGCTACTTCATGTAGTGTTACATTTCATTTGGTCCAGCCCCTTGTTGAGTTTGTTTCGAGTCCCTTCATGGTTGAGGACTTTGTGGTGGTGTACCACCAACCTGGACTTCGGCTCTTGGGGCTTGTAGAGGCTGAGAACCATCTCTATCTCGATTCTTCTTGCTAAGTTTGTACTTCTAAGACGATAGTGGCTGCTATACCTCCTGTTAGTCAAACCGCCATAGCGTCGTCAAACCTTCATGGAAAATTATGATTCAACTTGCTGCTGATAGGCGACAGCAACACGCTTGAGATCAGATTGATATCAATATTTGAAGCCTTCCAACGGAAGTCCTACTGTGCTCTCTTTCTCTCATTTTAGGCACATCTGAGCCTATTGTGATTATAACAAGGACTATCTCGCTGAGAGAGGAATAAAGAGGCTTGTCACCCTCCCCTACGCTCATCAACAGAATAGTGTAGCAGAGAGGATGAATCAAACCCTTCAGAACACCATGAGATAGCTGCTGACTGGGATGCGTCTGCCCAATTCGCAGTGGCCGGAGGTGATGAATCACACCGTCATGCTGCAGAATCTTCTGTCGTCAAGCTCCCTGCCAAACAACACATCACCGCATTTGCTGTGGACAGGGAAGCAGGGCAGCATAAAATTGTTACGAGTGTTCGGCTGCATGGTAAAGTGCCGTCCGCACACTGCACGAGCTGGACGATTTTTGCAGCGGGCAAGATGGGGTCTACACCTCGGTATAGAAAAACATTACAAGGCATGGAAAATCTTCGACGTTGAAGACAAGGAAACAGTACCGGCACGTGATGTGATTCTCTATGAGAATCTCATCCTCAACCATTACCTAGAGAACATCGCAGCCAATCAGGACCCATCCAGTGGCTTCGATGGAGCACGCGCGTTCGCCTCGACCAAAGAAGAAGCTGACCTGGAGGAGCAGAACGTCCCCAACACGTTAGCAGCTGCAGGATTACTTCCTCACTGCTCTGTCGACATGCCGATGGACGAAAAAAACCCTCACCAAAGCGCGAATGCCGAAGCCTACTACCACTTCGCCGACAGTGATTACGTAACACCTCATAGCGTCAACACCAACGTTTCAGAACGGGTAAGACCAGGTTTCGTACCTGATCCTAAAATGGGAGACAAGGCCGACTATCCCGAGGATCCAACACTCCTCCGCTACACCGAGAATGGTTTGCAAATCCTCAGACTCATAGCAGCCGTGCACCCTCCGCAGCCGCCGCCAGTCGAAGAGCCGAAGACCGTCAAGCGCGCGCTGCAAGGACCACACAGGGAGAAATGGAGGGAAGCAATGGATCGAGAGTTAGCAGTACGGGAGTGACTACCCCATTGCTCCAGTCAGCCGCCACACTTCCCTTCGAATTCTCCTCACCATCGCCACCGCTCGCCGACTTCCTCTACGACAAATCGACGTCGCCACTCCATTCCTCTATGCCCCGGCTGATGCCAACATCGTCGTCGAGCAGCCCCATGCCTACGTCGATGACCCAATACTGGTCTGCCAACTACTCAAATCCCTCTACGGGATCAAGCAGGCCTCGCGCCTGTGGCAGCAGTACCTGCATCGCATCCTAACCAAGATGGGCTCCGCCCTACTAGCGCACGACTAGGGCATGTACCGATTGTCATGCAGCGACGACTACGTCCTACTGATTGTATATGTGAATGACTTGCTCTACGTCAGCTCCACCACTTCCATCATGGGCTGACTCGAAGGCGAGCTGGAACTCCAGCTCACGATAACGGTGTCGCCGACCATGACACAATACCTCGGCCTCAACGTCACCGATAGCCCCGACACCATCCACCTCTCGGCCTCGAAGTACGCCGAGACCATCGCTCGGAGGTTCAATCTGTCCCTGCTACCTCTCGCTACTCCGTACACCTACGCGCCGCCAGCACCCACGTCGACCGTCTCGCTACTCGCACCAGCTGGGATCCAGGAGTATTAGTAGAAACTCGGCTGTCTGCTATTCGCCGCCGTTACCTGCCGTCCTGACCTCTCCTACGCTGCTAGCTCGTTTGCTACCTACCTTAAGCGACATGAAGGGGGGAATCTACTGGAACTCGATCGTGCGCTCCACTACTTAGTCTCGACCCTGACGATCGGCCTGACCTACCACAAGAACGCCACTACCAAGACCGAACTTATCGGCTACGTCGATGCCGATCACACTGGCGATAAGGACAACTGCCGCTCACGCACGGGCTACATCTACCATATGGAACCTATCGGAACTACTGTATTTCCTGGCACTCGGGAAAGTAGGAACTAATCGCTCTCTCATCTGCTGAAGCAAAATATATCACCCGTTGCACAGCCATGAAGGAAGGACTGTACCTGTGTGAGCTGCTTGAAGAACCAAAGATTGTGGAGTTAGCGAGCTTCTCTCTCTTCTGCGACAACCAATCAACAATAAGAATCGCCAACAAAAATGGATTCGCGAGCACGACGTAGCACATCTCGCTTCATTACTTGTTCGTGAAGGACGAGATCGAGCAGGGTCGCCTTCAATTGGTCTGCTGCCCCACTACCGAGATGGCAGCCGACCAGGGCTGACGTTTAAAAAAAAAGCCCCCTGAGCTGTCGAATGGAAAAAAACAATTACCCTGAGGGCCTTGTGTTGAAATTTTGGCTACCCTGATTTCTCAGTGTTCTGGAACCTGCAACCCTGAAACCTCCAAGGTTGGCTAGCCACAAACAGGGTTGCATTGCACATGCAAAAAATCAGTTAAGCGAACGTTAGGATTGTACAGTTAGTAGTTTAGCAAAAGCAACACTACACCAGTCTACAGATTCAGTTAATTAAGTCCTCTATCTAGTCTAGTCTATCTAGACTTCACAAGATTCCACGCCACTATCTACCCTTTACTAAAATTGTGAGCCATCCATGTTCACTTTGTCCTCTGCCTCGTCATCGGACAGAAACGGGTTGTCTTCCACTTCAGGATGAACCTCTCCCCCCTCTACCCCCTCCTCTCCCTCATCCTCTGCCCAATCCCCCATGTAGTCGGGGACTGCCTCCTCCTCCACCCTCCCTTCTGACCCCTCAATCGCCTTGGCCTTACGCTTCCTCTCCGTTGAGGCAAACAGAACAGACTTAGCAGGGCGCCTCAGCTTCTCGCGCCAACACTCAAGGGCCTCGTCCCAGTCAATCTTATACTGCAGCAAGGAAATTACCATCAGCTCGATGAGGCACGCATTGCACAACGCACCCCGCACCCATGACTTGATGACGTTCTGCCGCGAGAAGCCTCGTTCACACTCCACTGTGCTAAGCGGCAGGACAGTGCACGCCTGCCACAAGTGCATCAGGTTGGGCCAGCGCCAGCCAAAACGGTTGGGGGAACAGAGTGCAAAGAACAAAACCAGTGCATGAGTGCAACTAGTCGTCGAGCGATAAACCACAACTTCCAAGGGGAAGATTAGAACCGGCCCGAAAACATGCAACAAACGGCCTTCGAACAGCAGTCACTCACAAGGTCGACTCTGTCGAGCCGAGGTAGTTCGTCAGGCCTTGATGGAATCCCTCATCAGCATGGTGGCTCAGCATTTGTGGCGCCCACGTAACCAGCACTTTTTGCGTAGCTTGCAAGGCAAAGCCTGACAGCCTGTTGTCGAAAAGGGCACTGCAGCCATGTAGGTACTCCTTCAGCTTCTTCTCTCTCTGCTGCTTCATCCGGGGCCACTTCGACACGCGGAAGAGCTTCGTCGGGGCGAGATTGTTCAGGTCCAGCATCCTCGTCTTCAAGAAGCTTATCGTGTCCTTCGTGAACTGCGTGCAGAGACGCTCGCAATCGGGGTACTTGCTGTGGAAGGCATGCCCGTCGATCTGCTTCTCGTGCATGGTGTAGGTGTGCGTGACTGGGTTGCCGTCGATGCCCCGCACCTTTACGCGTTTGCTCCCTCCGCGCCCGTAGACAGCCAAGAAAGCCGAAAGCCACGTGCCTTCGACCCCCCCACCGAACACCTCTCCGCACTCCAGGTAGCGGTGGCGGAGGTCCCCTGTCGCCTCGTCGATGTCCTTTGTCACTTCCGTGACATCGACCTGGTGGAAGTGACAGACAAGGGATTGGAGTCAGAGGGTGATTCCAAACGTGGATGCATGGGACAAAAACTACAACATGCACAGTGGTAGAAGCTCACCTCCCTCTTCTGGAATTTGAGGTTGAGCTCATTCATCACTCCGAGCACGTCCGCCAGGAAGTAAAGACAGAACTGGAACTTGTAACAGATGACGACTTCATACAGCTCATGCCCGTACTCATGAAACAGAATGATAGCGGCGCCAAGGACCTTACAGAGGCGCCGCACAGCCTCACCCCTTGAAAGCCATCGCACGGTGTGAATGCCTTGCACTTCAAGGTTGGTGTTGTGTATTGCCCGCTGCAGGTACTTGAAGCGTTGACTCCAGACACATGAACGTCCCAGAAGATCGGCCAGAGTCCGAATCACAAGGTCGACCATGTCGAAGTCTGGAGAAGCAGTGGCGGCGTCCTTCACCGCTAGGGCTTCCCTGCATGGTGCACACACAGGAATTTTAGTCAAGCAGTTGTAGGAAACCTAAGCTACTGAAATGACAAGTGGTTTAACCTGTGCGCGATGTAGCACGAAGAGATGAGATGGGGGATGTGCTCGCGAAGTCGGGCGACGAGACCATTGTCTCGGCCGACCATGACAGAGGCGTCGTCGGTGCTCATGCCGGTGATTCGGGACAGGTCGATGCCAGTTGCTCGCAAGTGCGCCAGAAGAACAGTGAGGAGAGACGCGGCGTCGCACTTTTCGACGGTCAAGAGAGCAAAAAACTCTGTGACAACACGATGCGCACGCAGGAAGGTTAGATAAACAATGAGATGTTTACCGCGAGTATGGTCAGTGCTCTCGTCGCAGCTGATGCCGAGGTAGGGTGAGGCGAGAATGTGTTGCATTTGTCGGTGCTGTAGGTAGGATGCCAAGCTGTTGACGAGCTAACAGAAGCCATACCTGTAGTAGCAGAAGTAGCAACAGGGAGGTTGTTAGACCTATTAAATAAAAGAAGGATATGGTGTACTTGGAATCAGTGCATTACCGTGTCAGGTAGACTCCGTAAGACTGCAGCGGAATGTCTGGGGTCTCCTGCTCGGCCATGAAGCGGAGTAGCCTCGGGTACATGCTGATGGGTGCATCACACTTGCACAGGAAGTCGACGCATCGTAGGAGCCTCATGACGTGCTTCCCCTCAATGTCAGTACGCGCGTAATTCTCCATGCTCCTCAGGGTGCTTGCGATGTCTTCGGCGATCTCCATCTGACGCTTGACTGCTACTTCGTGGGCTGACGTGTGTTCGTGGAACCGCATCGCTTGCGTCTGCAGGTCACGTGCCCTGTCGCAGCTGTTGGAGTACGGTGTTATCTCATTGCCGAAAGCCTTGCACATACTGCACTTCAACGCAGGGTAACCGTCTTTCATTTTTGTTAACAGAAGCCAAGGGAAAAATGGAAGCCAGCAGGTCTTATACTTGTGCTCAGCCATGAGATACTTCTGCTCAATGAGTTCTTTCTTCGAGAGTTTTGGCGGCTCAGGTTCTGGAATAGCGGGGGCCTGAGGTTCAGGCAACGTGCGAGGCGGCGACGGTCGACGTAGCTTCCCGCCGAGGACTATCGTGCTCTGGGTGTACTTTCCGTGGCGTGCCTTTTTCCCATATGAAATCGTGGAAGCACACTCGACCGTGTAACGCGCGGTCGTGGCTGTCTCGCAGTCTGAAACCCAAGGGCCCCGGCTAGATGAAGCGACAGCGGGCGGAGGTACATAGGGAGCGGGAGTAGATACGGGTTGTGATGGTGTTGCGACTGCGGTGGGAGACCGCAAAGATATCTAGAGCGGATCTACGGACCTCCACGGTGGGGTCCCTACCTGGTCCAGAACCATCATCGGCGGCGGGAGACTCACAAGACTCTCCTACATCCGTCATGGCTAGTAGCGGCGGATATGATCGAAACGAGAACTAGGCGCGACGAAACTGGACAAGAAAGAAGAATGGAGCATCTCGTATCTGAGATGTGAAGAAGAGGAGGAAACTGGGTTGGAGGAGAAGCTAGTGAAGAAGATGGGAAGGGGACCAAGAAACCCCAGATTTCGCTTAGGGTGGACGGTGCATAACCCATCCAGAATCCCCCATCGCCATGGCGATACCGTCAACGGCGGGTCGCACCCGCGCTGGCATCGTATGCATAGAGATGATTGGCTCTGTGATGTCATACAGAGGCTGACATTGCAGCGCTCAGCATATTTTGTCCTTGTCTGCTGCGTGCTGAGTCACGAATACCAGGCTGGGGCATGACGGAGTGCACCATCCCACACTTAACGGTTGGAAATGTTGCTAAAATGGCAACATACAGCGTGTATACGGCGGGAATATTGCCAAGTGCAGATTCTCCACGTGATGCCTGCTGGTCGTATTCATTGGACTGGGACCCGTCACGCGTAAGGGGGGCATTTCGCCGAAACTCAAGGTCCGCATGGATGTCGCATTCAGGGTTCGTATGCGTTACTCCCTGAAAACACAGTGTTGTGATAACACAAACCCTAAAATTCTAAGTGTTCACAAACATACAACCCTGAAGAGGTTAGGGTTCAAAAAAGGCCAACCCTGAAAATTAAGGGTTGGCAAAAAAATACCCTGTGAAATTAGGGAATCGGGGTAAAATACCCTGATAACGACAGGCCTGCAGCCGACTACTTAACCAAAAAGCTTATGAAGGCCAAGTTCTACTATTGCATGCTGCTTATTGAACTGTCAACATATATTGGTATATGTTATAGGCTAGATATACTACACCGAGTCAACACTGCTACAGTACCACCGACGATTCACAGATGTTGACGACACCTCGCAGAGGTTACGAAAGGGCAACAGTCGCAGATCGCTGACCAGGCCCCTAGATTGGTTTTTAGGAGCCCTGATCGCTCAGGATTCCCCCTGAGTTTTTCTCTGTTTTTTCAAGGTTGGTCCCAAAAAAATTCCTCGTGAATCAGGACTCGTATATTTTTTTGTCATGAGCAGTCAGAGTTATTTATGGTGTCTTTCATGATTTCTTGGAGGTTCTTAGGGCATGCTTTAGTAGCGAATTCATGCTTGCTGGGTGAATCGGGTCAGGTGGGCGAGATTGCAGGGGCCGAGGGAAATTTCGCCCGTACAAAGCTCTAAGGCACACATCGGGCCGAAAATTTGGCTAAGGGCCAAGTGCCCTCCCTCACACTGCCCCCACGCGCCGAGCCACGAATTTGGTGAAGGGCCAATAAGCGCCCTCACAGAGCCTAGAGGGCGGGCTAGAACCTCGGAAATCTCTGCAGCCCCCCCAGGTGACGCATCGACGGAAACAGGTACAGTTTCGTTGCAAAGCTGAAATTTCAGGATTCGTTAAGAAAACTTTGCTCATAAATCAGAGTTGACCTCCCAAAAAAGGCTGAAAAAACAGGAAATGCCTTTCGAAAAACCGTGGACAATCAGGACTGGTACCAGCAACAACTATGTTTTTTTCCTGAATCAGGAAAATTTTCTAGCAATCTAGGGGGTTGCCGCTGACCGTGCAACCCAACAGTAAGAATCGCAAGAGTCAAGAGTCAGCGCGACTCTAAGGACAAATAACCGTCCCGATATTACAGTATGGGTGGTTACTGTTAACGTAGAAACGAATGATTACTAGAGGTGGAAACCTAGAACAAATACTAGTTGGTTGTACTCACTAGAAGCATACCTCAGTCTAGCCAATAACTTCTACATAGATAATATGTATAAGTTGACACACCCCCTAGGCTAGACAAGGGGTGAAACTAAACAAGAAGTAAACAGCTCAGGGCGGCACTACTAGTCCAACCACTGAGGCAGGGGTCTGGAGACCAGTCAGCAAGAATACAACCAAAACTGAAGCAAGCCAGGGTGGCACTACTAGTCCAGCCACTGGAGGTAAGGCCACAAGGCCAGTCCGACAAGCATATATAATAGAGAGTACACAATCAGGATCCTAACAGGGGAGCAGCTACAGGAACAAGACCAAGCTGTACACAGTGCCGCTGATGATCTTTAGGCGCAAGCGCCTTAGTAAAGATATCAGCTGTGTTGGCACCTGAGGCCAAGTGAACTACGCGGGCCTGGCGGCGCTGCTGTAGCTCGCGCAGGAGGAAGTACCGCAGCTGGATATGCTTCGCTCTGCCCTCAAGCCGAGGCTCCTGACACAGGAGTATCATGGCCCTGTTGTCAGCGTACAGGACCGGGGCAGAGCTAGGCCGCTCACCTAAGTCTGTGAGCAAGAAGGTCAGCCAGCGGAGCTCCTGTGCCGCCATGGCACCAGCGTAGATCTCAGCCTCACAGCTAGACTGAGCCACAGACGACGAGCGAGTGGATCTCCAAGAGATAGCACCCGAACCAAGGCTGAAACAGTAGCCCTGCGACGACCTGAGCGTCTCAGCGTCGTCTGCCCAAGAAGCGTCTGTGTGCCCAGTAAGGACCACTGGCCTGCGTCCTCCTAGCACTAACCCCATGCCTGATGTACTAGCAAGATAACGCAAAACCCTCTTAGCGGCAGACCAGTGCTGAGGTCGGTGTCTGCCTGTAGCCACAAAGCGAGCCAGGATGCTAAGAGGGTATGCGAGATCTGGGCGAGTGCAAGTCATCAGGTACATGAGGCAACCCACCAGCTCTGCGTAGGGGCCACTGGGCTCTACTGGCTCCTCAGGAACGGGAGCAGAGAGCCCATGGTCTACGGGTAGAGGTGTGGGCTGTGCAGAGGAGAACTGAAGACCGAACCTCTGAAGGACCTGACGCACCAAGTGTGACTGGGTCAGAGTGATGGTGCGTGCTGCTCTGTCCCTAGAGATCTGCAGGCCAAGATAGCGACGCAGCTCTCCAAGGTCAGTGCAGGTGTGTCTCTTCAGCAGCTCAGCCTTCACAGAGGCCAGTGCGTCCCTGTCAGGAGTAGCGAAGACCAGGTCGTCTACGTAGACAAGGATGTAGAACGGAGTCTGGCCGGAACGCACAAACAGTGAAGGGTCAGCAGAGGACGGAAAGAACTGCAGGTCTGCTAACGTGGCACGTAGCGTGTCGTGCCACTCGCGGGGAGCCTGACGCAGGCCGTAGACCGGGCGCCTGAGAAGCCACTGGGTCCCAGGAGGGAAGGTACCAGTGAAGCCCTGTGGTCGGCGCAGGTAGACCTGCTCGTGTAGGCTGCCCTGAAGAAAGGCAGTAGAGAAGTCGAGGGAGTGAAGCTCGTAGTCACGCTGTGCTGCTACGTGTAGCAGCGCCCGAAGAGTGGTCATCTTCGGGGTCGGGGCGAAGGTCTGGAAGAAGTCAACCCCCTCGCGCTGACTGAAACCTCTGGCCACGTAGCGCGCCTTGAAGACAGGCGGCTCTCCAGGGGGGCGCTTCACCTTGAAGAGCCACCGACCATCGACTACGTTCACCCCAGGCGGGGGAACTGCGTCGACGTAAGTGCCGGTGGATCTCCAAGATGCCATCTCCTGCTCCATGGCAGCTATCCACTGAGAGGCCCAAGGTCCCGAGGTGGCCTCAGCGTAGGTGCGAGGGGTCGGGATGTCGAAGGCGTCTGGGTCACCCTCAGGGACTAACAGCATGGAGCAGAGATGGGGAGCAGCCTCGGAAAGGAAAGCCAGCTCGTACTGCCTGTCCTCTAGGACGTCACTGCCAAGGGCAGGAGCACCCCCGACGGACAGAGGACGGGCAGGGTCAGAGACCAGAGCGGTAGCGTAGTCAAGGCGGCGGGTAGAGGCGAAGTCAGCGACAGCAGCGACAAGCGCGTCAAGGCGCGAGACAGGAACAGCAGGGTCGGTAACAAGAGAGGCAAGGACCCGAGGGACAAGGGGACGAGCAGCACGGAGGTAGTCAGAGAACGGAGGAGGTGCAACAGCAAGGGACGAGGGAGGAGGGGACGGGAGGAGGGGAGGACGAGACGAGTGGGAACGGAGCAACATAGGGTGGGTGGGCAGGACAGGAGAGACAGGACGAGCACGGGAGGGACGGCGAGCCCAAACGTGAGACGGAGGGGTAGGGTCAGGGGACAGCGGAGGAGACACAGGAGGGGAACGAGGAGGAAGACGGGCCGGAGACGAGTCTGGCGGCGGGAACACAGGACCGTAGACAGGAAGGTCAGGAGGCGGTGGGGGAGACACCGGCGCGCGGTCCGGGGAGGGAAGGCCGAGCAGGCGGAGAGCGGAAACCGGCGGCGACGGCTGCTGCGGCGGCGACGACGGCTGGGCCGGAGCTCTCGGACCAGCAGAGGCAGAACGACCGTCGGCAGAACACTCAACAGCAGCACCCCCAGAACCAACACCCCCAGAGCGAGAACCCCCTCCAACACCAGCGGCACCCCCAGAAGCCGCAGGACGAACACCCTCCTCCACACCAGCACCCCCAGGGGCCGAGAGCAGCGGCGGCAGTGGCGGCAACGGCTGCGGCGGCGGCGACAGCGGCGACGGCTGCGGCAGCGACAGCGGCGGCGGCGGCGACGACAGCGGCGACGGCTGCGGCGGCGACGGCGACGGCGGCGGCAGCGGGGTCGGCGACTGCGACAGTGGGGGCGGAGGCACCGGGGAAGGGGGACGCGGCAAGGACGGACCGGGGGTACCACCAGAGTCAGCAGACTCCTCAACGGGGACAACCGACGGGAGGGGAGTGACGTGGGAGACACCAGACGGGGCAGGACGAGGCGGGAGAGGGGCAGGGGCTACCGGGGGAGAGGGAGCAAGGAAAAGGGGGGGGGCAACTGGGAGACCTCGGTGAGGGAAGCGGCGGTAGAAGGAGACGGACTCGTCAAAGGTGACGTCACGAGAGTGGAGGAAGCGGTGAGACGGCGGGTGGTAGAAAAGCCAGTCAGACGAGTCCAGGGGGAAACCGAGGAAGACACAGGGGACAGTGCGGGCAGTGAGCTTGTCCGTGCCAGAGGCACGAACGTGAGCAAGGCAGCCCCAGACGTGGAACGCAGACGCGTCACCGGGGGACCCGGTCCAAAGGAGGGTCGGCGAAACCTGCGGCCGCTGGGAGCGTGGCCACAGGTTAAGCTGGTGAGCCGCGTAGCGAACAGCGAACGGCCACAGAAAATGGGGGGCATCGGCATGGATCATGGAGGTACGGGCGACCTCCATGACCAAGCCGATGCGGCGCTCAGCAACCCCATTCTGCTGTGGCGAGTCCGGCAACGTGTACGACTGGGTGATGCCCTCCGCACGACAGAACTGTCCAAGCCGACCAGAGGCGAACTCGCCGCCACGGTCGGAGTGGAGACACAACACGGGGAGACCGCGGTGGAGACGCGCAGCCACAACCCACGGGAGAAGAACGTCGGGCACGTCGGCCTTCCGCTCCAGGGGAAACACCGTGGTGTAGCGCGTGTAGTCGTCGACGAGCACAAGGAAGTAGCGCTCACCGCGCGGTCCGGGGACGGGGGCAGGGCCCCAAACGTCCAAGTGCAGGGTCTGAAGGGGGGCAGTAGCAGGACGCAGCGAGGAGGAGTGAGGAGCACGGCGGAGCCGACCCTCGACGCAAGGCGTGCACGGTGGCGCAGTCGAGGGAGGAAGGGCAGGGAGCGACGCGGGGAGACCTAAGACAAGACCGTGCTGGGACATGTGACGCAGACGCGGGAGAGCAGGGTGACCTAAGCGGTGGTGCCAGAGAAGGGAGGGGTGAGTGAGGGACCGACACGAGCAAGCTGCAGCGACCTGGGAGGACGCACCAACCGGGGGGGAAGCGGTGTGTAGGGTAAACAGACCGGACACCGGGTCCCGGGGGAACGTCGCAAGGGGGGAACCTGAGACAGCCTCAGAACAGACAGCGAACCGCTCGTGCCCAGGGAACGTGGTGGTGACGCCGAGGTCCTGGAGACAGCCGACACCAACCAGGTTCCTGGAGAACGAGGGAACGTGGAGGCCAGTAAGAGAGCCCGAGGGAACTGCCGGACAAGGAAGGGACGTAGAACTGCGCGCGACGACCGGACCCGCAGAGGGGTCAGCGAGAGAGACAACAGCAGGTGCAGCAAGCGGCGTGAGCGTGGAACGGTCGCGGAAGAAGCAGGCAGAAGCACCAGAGTCGAGAGTGAAGGACAGCGACGCAGTGGCGGAGGCCGGGGACGGAGCCGGTGCAGCGACTAGACTAGGCAACCTAGGCAGTCCTACGCCTGTCGCAGCAGGGGAAGCTAAGCTACACAAGGGTGAAACACCTAAACTAGAGTACACAGGGTAGTAAGATCCAGCAACACTAGAAGCGTCAGCATACAAAGCATGCAAAGCAGCACCTATCTGATCCATGTCTAACTCAAAGATCGGCACGCCCTGGCGGAGTAGGCTGTGCCAGTCAGGGAGGTCCGGGGCCGGGCCAAAGCGACGACGAAAAAGATCGTCGAGGCGGCGGAAACAGCGGGCGGTCGGGTGCGGGCGGCGGCACAGAGTGCTGCGGAGAGGCCCGGTCTGAAGCTGGTACTGGCAGGTCACAGCACTGGAGCCGCTGGTAGACGCCAAGCTGCGCGGGCCGCCACCACGGCCACCGCCTCCGGAGGTGCCGGGCCAACCAGGCGGGAGACGAGCCCACGGCTGCGGCGGGTGCTGCTGGGACGGCGGCTGCGGCTGGGGCTGGTCCTGCTGCTGCTGGGGCTGCTGCTCCTGCCCACCGGTGGTAGTCCCCTCAGGCGGACTACCGTCACCACCACCACGACCACTACCACCTGCGTCACCACCCCTACCTCCCTGGCGGCCACGGCCACCGCGACGCGAGCGCTGCTGCGGGTGGACAGCAGCAGCCGTCTCGGTAAGAGGGGTCGCCGTGGCGACCGCAGCCGAAACGTCAGTGAACGTGCACTGGGATGGGGCACAGCCGTGAAAGATAGAGACTGCCGGCGCACCGCTCGACTGAGCGATAGTGCGCTGGCGAGTCTCGATCTCAGTGAGGGTGTCGACAAAGGCGGTCAGGGTGAGGTCACCCGGGTGCTGGCTAAGAAAGTGGTCGCGAGCACTAGCGAGGCGGTCTGGCAGGCGCATAGCGATAAAATAGAGCGTCATGCAGAAAGGAGGGGGGAGCACAGTGAGCTGGGCAGCAGTGCTGGCAGTGCGATAGCGAGTCTCTAGGGCACGCAAATGAGTGGCAAAGTCTGCGACAGTAGGGAAGGCAGCCAGGTCTGGGAACAGCATCGGAAAGAGCAAGCGGCCAGCAGAAGCGGAGGCAGGGGTGGAATAGCGAGCAATAACGGCGTCTAAATAAGCTTTGGCCGTTTCAACAGTAGCAAAACGCGAGCGCTCAGACACAGGGAGGGCGTGACTAATAGCAACCTGAGCTACTGCATCGCGTGAGTCCCAGACCGCACAGGCCAGCGCAGCAGTAGAGAAAGCCTCACGGTCATCAGAGGAGGGGTCAGCAGGGAGGGGAGTAGGTGCAGGGGGACGGGGGAGCAAGCCATCAGCATGGACAACCAGAGAGTGGCCATCCTGGCGCTGACCTGTAAGCTGGCGGCGGAGATCGGAGAGCCAGGCGGCGAAGTCAACCGCGTGGCCCTCAGCGTCCAGGCGGAGCACAAAGTCAGCCATCGTGCAGGGTCAGCGGCACAGCTCCTCAGCGACACAGCGGCACAGCAGCACAGCTCCTCAGCGGCACAGGAGCACAGCGGCGCGGGGACACGGCGGCAGCACTCTCCAGTAGGGCAGCAGCTAGGCGTCTCAGCGCAGGCGAGCAGAAGACACAGGGCCCGAGAGGACACGGCAGGCCGAGCAGGGGAGGCGGGCAGGTGCTCTGGGGCCGGGCTGGTGCTGGGAGGGGCCAGGCTGGTGCTGCTGGGGCCGGTCGGGCACGAGGAGGGGCCGGGCAGCGCTGAGGAGAGGCCGGGCGGCGCTAGGAAGGGGCCGGGCGGCACTAGGAGGAGGCCGGGCGGCACTAGGAGGAGGCCGAGCGGCACTAGGAGGCCAGGCAGGCGAGCGCTAACAGCAGGCGCGACAGGGGCCAGCGGGCGCGACGAGGCCTAAGGGGCGCGACGGGGCCCAGCGGGCACGACGGGGCCCAGGGGGGGCGCGACGGGGCCGAGGAGGCGCGACGGGGACCAGCGGGCACGACGGGGCCCAGGGGGGCCGCGACGGGGCCTAACGGGCGCGACGGGGCCCAGGGGGGGCGCGACGGGGCCTAGCAGGCGCGACGGGGCCTAGGAAGCGCGAAGGGGCCCAGCGGGCGCGACGGGGCCTAGGAGGCGCGACAGGGCCCAGCGGGCGCGACGGTGCCCAGAGGGGGCGCGACGGGGCCTAGGAGGCGCGACGGGGCCCAGCGGGCACGACAGGACCTAGGAGGGGCGCGACGGGGCCGAACGGGCGCGACGGGGCCCAGAGGGGGGGGGGACGCGACGGGGCTTAGGAGGCGCGACGGTGCCTAGGAGGCACGACGGGGCTCAGCAGGCTCGACGGGGCCCATGGGGGGCGCGACGGGGCCTAGGAGGCGCAACGGGGCCCAGCGGGGGCGCGTTAGGGCCTAGGGGTCGCGACGGGGCCCAGCGGGCGCGACGGGGCCCAGGGGGAGCGCGACGGGGCCTAGGAGGCGCGACGGGGCCCAGCGGGCACGACGGGGCCCAGGGGGGGCGCGACGGGGCCTAACGAGCGCGACGGGGCCCAGAGGGGGGCGCGACGGGGCCTAGGGGGCGCGACGGGGCCTAGGAGGCGCGACGGGCGGAAGCGGTAGGCGGGGGGATGCTAACCTAAGCGTGATACCATGTTAACGTAGAAACGAATGATTACTAGAGGTGGAAACCTAGAACAAATACTAGTTGGTTGTACTCACTAGAAGCATACCTCAGTCTAGCCTATAACTTCTACATAGATAATATGTATAAGTTGACAGTTACCCGAGTCACCTTATCAAGTCGTTAGAGGGAATGTACCCCTAGAAGTGCAAAACAGTTAGACTTTTCATATTCTCTTGTATCATTTTGCTATAATCAATCACTTGTTCTCACATACCAGTTTAAGGGTTCAACTCAAGACTTCCGCTGTGGTATTAAGCACTCTGTTACAAGGACTTAGCATTCTGAAAATATCCTATGGCTATTCTCAGCCTAACACCATACTTATTCGGATAGATGTGAGGCCCCTGAACACTTTGTAAAGCGGATCTTCCTGACACTGCAGTAAGGTTCGTAATCCTTCACATTCTGTTCAGTGTTCATAATGCTGCCCGGTTATGGAATCAAGTTCTGTTTTTTTCCAATCGTAACAACTTCAGTGACGGGGTGCATGTATATTTGCTACAAGTGAGTAGAGCAATAGTGGGGTTTTCTTTTTCAACTTCGTCAACCCCGACTTATACCCCACATTGAGTTCCAGGCACAGCTCAGTGGCCGATGGAGCCGAGCTGTCTGCTCCGCCCAGCCACCAGCATGCCCTGGTTGGTGAATGTGGAAATTAGAGACCTAGTCGAACTCACCGAATCTCACCCGCTGGCAAAGAAAACCAGCCACGCAAGCGAGCGCTAATCAGGAGCAGAGGTTACACAAGCGTGAATTATGACCGTCACAGCTCACCCTAGTGACTACGCGTAGAGCCCTCACCTAGTGCACCCCATTGGGCCGCTTTTTTAGGTTCACGCAGCGCGGTCCGGCCGCAAGAAGCGCCTCTGATATGTGGGCCTTGCCTCCTCTCTCTGGTCTCTGCTAGTAGTTTCTTGCCAGTTCTGACAGATTCCGAGGGCATTCAAACTGAATCATTGACCAGATTCCGCTCAGGCTGGGTTCAGAAATCGAGGAATGAAGGATAAAGTTGATGACGAAGCCTAGACGAGCGTACGTGTGGCGATAATTGCGAACAGATTGCCTTCTTGCCAAAGCTACAACGAAAACGCCACGCGCTGACCTGACCTTGTACTTTGTTCGTCACTGACAAGACTCTCCGGCTTGGACCGTCTCTCTGGTCGCTAGATCTAGTAGATCTACGGTAGATTCTGGCAGTTCGGCGTGGTGTCCCTCGGTCCGCCGATCAATGATGCGTCCCAGCAGATCAAGCCCATGCGGTGGTTTCTCATGGCTTCTGGCTGTCGCCGCGACGGCCGTGATCGTTGCTTCTCTGGGGGTTATTCTCCCCGTGCCGTGCTACGCGGTCCACCGTGCGCAACCAGGTACTCCTACCAGGTACTCCTACCAGGTACTCCTACCAGGTACTCCTACCAGGTACTCTTACCAGGTACTCCTACCAGGTACTCCTACCGGGTACTCCTACCGGGTACTCCTACCAGGTACTCCTAACAGGTACTCCTACCAGGTAGTGGTACTGCTAGCACCGTGGCTTTAGCAGCATAGGGCGCTACCTGTGACAGGCACTGGTGTAATGTAGTGCTACTACATTGCACAGGCAGTGCACATTGCAATGCAGTACAAGGCAGGCACTCCGAATAGAATCGCGGTTACACAACCACGGCTGTAGCAAAGTCGTTGCCTATCACACGCAACGAGCAATGTAGTATAGGCACGCACTCCCACTCGAATCGCTATGCAACCACCCACCAAACCCCCCCTCCCCTCCCCGCCCCCCAACCCACCCCCTCCCCCCCTCCCCCCTCACCCCCCCAACTCTTATTTCTCCCTGTTCTCGCCCCCCCCCCCCTTACCCTTCTATCCCCTCAGCACGAAGGCCCAACACAAGGCAGTACATCGTGCATTTGACATCCGTCCGTGCCGGCAGTGCTGTCGGTCGTGCCGGGGAGGGCTGGCAGACTCACCTGGCTCACGGCTGAGGCTCCAAGCGCCTCAAAAAGTAGACTCCCCATATCGGGGACGGCTCGCAGACTCACCGGGCTCACGGCCGAGGCTCCAAGCGCCTCAAAAAGTAGACTCCCCATATCGGGGACGGCTGGCAGACTCACCGGGCTCACGGCCGAGGCTCCAAGCGCCTCAAAAAGTAGACTCCCCATATCGGGGACGGCTGGCAGACTCACCGGGCTCACGGCCGAGGCTCCAAGCGCCTCAAAAAGTAGACTCCCCATATCGGGGACGGCTGGCAGACTCACCGGGCTCACGGCCGAGGCTCCAAGCGCCTCAAAAAGTAGACTCCCCATATCGGGGACGGCTGGCAGACTCACCGGGCTCACGGCCGAGGCTCCAAGCGCCTCAAAAAGTAGACTCCCCATATCGGGGACGGCTGGCAGACTCACCGGGCTCACGGCCGAGGCTCCAAGCGCCTCAAAAAGTAGACTCCCCATATCGGGGACGGCTGGCAGACTCACCGGGCTCACGGGCGAGGGCAAACCTCGTAGCGAGGGGGAGTGAATGCGCTGAGGGCCCCCTGCGCCGGGAGGGAGTGAAGGCGCTGACGGCCCCAGCGACTCAATCCCCGCTCCCCTACCCCTCCTCCCTCCCTTCCTCCCTACCCCAACCCCTCCTAGCATCACGAAGGCCCAACGCAAGGCAGTATGTCGTGCATTGGGGGGGAGTCAGTGACGGTCTGAGGGCCTCTAACTCCCTTCTCCCCTTCCCTCCTCTTCTGTTCCCCTAGCAGCAGCGCGAAGGCCCAACACGAGGCAGTACATCGTGCATCTGTCGTCAGTGCCATCAGTGCTGTCGTACCGGGGGGGTGTCAACGGGCTGCGCGGCACAGCGACTGTAGACGATAGCGAGGACGAGTATGACGAGGATGACGGGGCGGATGATGGGGCGGAAGGCGATGCTGATGGTGGTGGGAGTGGTGGGAATGGGAGTGATGGGAATGGGAGTGATGGGAATGGGAGTGATGGGAATGGGAGTGATGGGAATGGGAGTGATGGGAATGGGAGTGATGGGAATGGGAGTGATGGGAATGGGAGTGATGGGAATGGGAGTGATGGGAATGGGAGTGATGGGAATGGGAGTGATGGGAATGGGAGTGATGGGAATGGGAGTGATGGGAATGGGAGTGGTGGGAATGGTGGGAATAGCAGTGCACCAGGGTCAGCACCAGCACCATCAGCACCAGGGTCAGCACCAGCACCATCAGCACCAGGGTCAGCACCAGCAACAGCAGCAGCAACTTCAGCAGGTGCAACAGCAGCAGGGACAGAAGCAACAGCGGCGGCGGCAAGATCCGAAAGAAATCTCTCGTCAGAGTCACGATTGGATTCCCTGGACGCCGTTATTCAGTCCGCCGCTGCGGCTGCTGCAGAGGAAGCAATGGAGATGGGAGGACTGGTGAGAAGTGCAGGAGCAGCAGCAGCAGGGGTGCAAGGAAGAGGACTAGGGGAAGGGGGAGTGAGGATCAGCAGCGCACTGCGTTTTGGGGAAGCTGGGTGGGATGCGCTGGTGGGGAGGGTGAGGCGTCGCCTGGGCAAGGTCAGATCGAGGTCTGCTGGCGTGGGCCCGCGCCTGCTGGCCCGCATTGCTGCTGCTGCAGTGGCTGCTGCAGCAGAGGAAGCAGCAGGAGCAGCTGCCGCTGGTACTGGTACTGGTGCTGGTGCTGCTGCTGCTGCTAATTCCCAAACCTCTACCTTCAATGCGTTTAACCCTTCTGCTACCTCTGTGGCCTTCAGCGCCACTGGTAACATGACACGTGGCAAGATAGGTGAAGGAGACAGGGGACCTTTGGCAGCAGGAGCCACGTCACCCATGTTGACAGCTCAGCAACTAACAGCGCAGCAGCCAACAGTCCAGCAGCTGAGTGCGCGTGCAGTGCGCATCATGCGCACCACGCCCTGGGGCCGACTCATGCGACCCGACGTGCGGTTACCACACGTGCAGGCCTTCACTCGCTTCCTTGAAGCTTCCCACCGTAGCCTGCTGCGGTCTCTGGGGATCCCAGCGTCAGCCATTTCTCACAGGTGGGGCTGAGAGCAAGTCATGGGGTTGCGAGAGGTGGAGGGTTCTTACCTCAGCCATTTTCCAGAGGTGGAGGGGGGCTCAGCGGAGGGAGGGGTTCTCAGGTGGAAGGGGGTATCTTGGCCCACTCAAAAGTGACCCCTGGGGTTCCAGCCTCACCCCTTCTGTGGCGAGAAGGCTGAAATCGCGTGAAATCCTCAGGTTCGACTGGAGCCCGTGGCCCCTTTCCAAACACCCCTTTCCCCTGCCTCCTGCCCTCCATCTCCCACGTTCTCCCCTTTTCACTGCCTCCTACACCCTCAGCTACACCTACCTATCTGCTCAACAGCTTTGCAGCGAGATAGGGCAGTGCGGGTGGTCATGGTGCACTCGCCCGAGTTCCTCAAGCTCGGATGGAGCCTGTGGCAATTGTCCGTTCACCCCTCTTTCCTGCCTCCTGCCCGCATCCTTTCGCGATTCCCCTTGCGTCTTGCCCGCCCCCAGCTACTCCTATTTGCTCAACAGCTTTGCAGCGCAGCTCACCCCTTCTGAGGCGAGGCGGCTCAAGTGGCACCCGGCAGTGGCGGGCGTGGAGGGAGAGAGGGCAGTGCGGGTGTCCACGGTGCACTCGCCTGAGTTTCTCAAGCTCGGTCAGAGCCTGTGGAATGCGAATGGCGGGAAGAGCACTGCTGGGGAGGGTGTGATTGTCGGGGTGATTGACTCGGGCATCTGGCCTGAACACCCCTCCTTCTCCGACCCTGTAAGCCGGGCTCTGGTGTAGTGGCCTAGGTACGATCATTGTGAGAGGGTGCGATCATTTGACTGATTGACTCAGTTCTGGCCCCAACACCCGTCCTTATCCAATCCTGTGACCCCATAACAGGTGGGTTCTGGTATATTGGCCAAGGTATGATCGTTGCACATCATGGGGGGGAGGGTGTGATCATTGGGGAGATTGACTCTGGGATCTGGCCTGAACTGAGCACCCCTCCTTCCTGAATGTGGAGCCAGGGTATGCTTGTTGGGGGGAGCAACGCGTGGGAGGGCATAGCATTGGACTGATTGACTGACTCATGGATTAGGCCCGAAGACCTTTGAGTCGACTCAAAAGTCAGCCCGAAGACCTTTGAGTCGACTCAAAAGTCATGAGTCGACTCAAAAGCCAGGGTATGCTTGTTGGGGGGAGCAACGCGTGGGAGGGCATAGCATTGGACTGATTGACTGACTCATGGATTAGGCCCGAAGACCCCTCATCTTGCCCTGCCCTCGCATGCCCTCTCATGCCCTCTCATGCCCTCAGGACCCAGGCGGAGCGGCCTATTCCGCTGTCCCAGCGCGCTGGAGGGGCAAGTGCACCACGACAGCAGACTACCCTGCGTGCAACGGCAAGGTGATCGGGGCGAGGTACTTCTTGAAGGGCGCGGAGGGACAGTTTGGCGACCTGGATGAGACGGAAGACTACCGGTCGGCACGCGACAAAGTGGAACACGGCACGTGGTGCGCGGGGTGAGTGACTAGATAGCATGCAGCTTGGTGTGCCTGTTGCTGGGTTGGAGCTGGACAGCACAAGAGGACCACCGGTCAGCACGCGACAAAGTGGAACATGGCCCCCGGTGCAAGGGGTGAGTGCGATAGCTTAAGCCAGGAAATGGTGATAGAGGTGCTTTATGAAGGGGGCGGAGGCAGGGCAGTTCGGCAAGCTGGGTGACACAGAAAAGTACCGGTCGGCACGAGTGACGACAGCAGTTTCATTCTCCCGCACTGGGAGAGGGCCTAGAGAGGCGGCTCAAAGTGGCTCATTCTTGGAGTCCAATCCAGTCCCGGACCACTGTAGTCCCAAGTTCGATGCACCAGTCCGCAGACGGACTAGGTTAACGGGCTTGTTTAATGGTGGGAAAGCACACCCACAAGCCTTTAGGACGGATCTCTAGGGTCATTCCAGTGGCCTATACACAACACCCCTTTCCCCCCTCTCTTTTCCCCTCCCCTCTCCCATCCCCTCCCTCTCCCCTCCCCTCCCTCCCTTACGCTTCGCCTGCTTCCCTCTCCCCTCCAATCATCCAGAGCTGCTGCATGTAACGCAGGGATGGGCGTGGCAGTGTGTGGGCCGGACCTATGGCACATCATCGGGCATGGCGCCCTCAGCCAGGCTGGCAGTGCACGTCGTGCTGTGGAGCGTTGGCGGGTATGGGTGCGCATGGCGGATACTGACTGTCTGTCCCTCTCTCCTTCTCTCTCCCCCCTCTCTTCTTTTCCCCTCCCCTCCCTTCCCAGGCCACTCGGTGGTCTCTCCCCTCCCTCCCACTAAGAGCCGCAGCGGGCAACACAGGGGTCACTGTCAGTCAGCATGTGAGGCTGCACGTACGGCACAGCATCGGACACGGAGCCGCGAGTCGTGGGCATTATCACATTCCTCCCCACCCCCCCCGGTTCCCTTCGCCTCCCTCAGAGCTGTTGCGGGCAACTCTGGAGTAGCGGTCACCATGGGAGGCCGCACCTACAGCACAGCATCGGGCATGGCACGGCAAGTCATGGGCTCACATCTACTCCCCTCCCCCTCTTCCTCCCCCTCTTCCTCCCTCCCACCACTCTGAGCTGCTGCGGGCAATGCAGGGATCACTGGCACCGTAGGAGGCTGCACGTACGGCACAGCATCGGGAATGGAGCCGCGAGCCATGGACAACATCTCATCTGCGCTCCCCACTTCCCTCCTTCCCCATCCCACGGCCCCTCAGAGCTGCTGCAGGCAATGCAGGAGTCACAGTCGCTGTGGGAGGCCGCACCTACGGCACAGCATCGGGCATGGCGCCGCGCGCCAGGCTGGCAGTGTACAAGGCACTGTGGAGCATCGGGGGGGAAGTGGGGGTGGGGGTTTCTTCCGACCTCATAGCTGCGGCTGAGAAGGCGGTGGCTGATGGTGTGGATGTGCTCTCGTGCTCGTGGGGGGGCCTCGCCATGTACTTCCAAGATCTGCCGTACCTGCGCGGCTTGAAGGTGTGTGCTGCCTTGCCTTGTAATCTCAAGCCACCTCAACCCCAAGCCCTCTCGTGCTAGTGGGGGGGCCCTTGCCATGTACTTCCAAGTTCTGACCTACTTGCGAGGCTTGAAGATCCGTGCTCCCTTGTACCCCTACGCCGTCTCACCCTCATGTTGCCCCTTGCTCTCGTCCCTACCATGCCTCCAATCCTCGCCCTAACGTTCCTCCCCTCCTCACCTGTTGCTTCCCCTGTCTGACTCTCAGGCCGGAGTGGTCACAGCCTTTGCAGCAGGCAACGAGGGCCGACCCAACCCCGTGAGCATGTGGGGCACCCTGGGGAACGTCTCGCCCTTCTACCTCACAGTGGGCGCAAGGTACGGATGGAGTGGGAGTGAGTTAGTTAGTGGCTTTAAGGATCGTGGTTAGGGCAACAAGGGCCGACCCAACCCTGCCAGCATGTGAGGCACCCTTGGGAACGTCTCTCCCTTGTACCTCACAGTGGGCGCAAGGTACAGCCAGAGAGTGAACATGATGAGTGAGACTTACCCCTGGCAAAGCGCCACCTTCTCGAGTTGCAGTCTGGGCAGAGAGCAGAATCAACGTACTCCCCCATCACCCCCCCCCCCCCCCTCCCTCCCTCTCCCCCCCCCCTCTCTTCCTCTCCGCTCTCTCACCACCCTCTGCCACAGCACCATGGGCTGTGCTAACCCTGGGTGACACAGCCACCTTCACAGCTCGCAGTCTGGCCATAGAGCGAAACCAATGCACTTCCCCCTCCCACCCCCACCTCCCCCCCCTTACCTCCCTCCGCCACAGCACCATGGGGGGGAAATACAGGGCTGTGCTAACCCTGGGCGTACAGCGAAATCAGCGCTCTCCCTCCTCCCCTCCTTCCTTTCCTCCCTCCGCCTCAGCACCATGGGGCGCGAATACAAGGCTGTACTAACCCTGGGGGATGGAGCCACCTTTTCGGGTCGCAGTATGGGCGGCACCTCTGAGACGGCGGCAGCCCTCCCCTTGGTGCTGGCTGAGTCCGCTGTGTCCTATGTCGGGGGCACCGCAGAGGTGAGCACTAGGGACAGGGGCAGAGGTGAGCACTAGGGACAGAGGCAGAGGTGAGCACTAGGGGCACAGGCCAGGTGTGTGAGCCCTAGGGAGACAGGATTGAAGGTAGCCCTAGAAAGGCAGGGCTGAGGTGAGCGCTAGGGAGACACAGGTGTAGCAGGGCAGGCTCGAAGGAAGGTTATTCCCTTGTCTCGGCAGCAGCACTGACACGGTGGCAGCTCTCCTCTTGGTGCTGGCTGAGTCCGCTGTGTCTTATGTCAGAGGCACCGCAGAGGTGAGCGGTAGGGATGGTGAGCACTAGGGATGGTGAGCACTAGGGACAGGGGCAGAGGTGAGCGGTAGGGACAGGGGCAAAGGTAGCTCTAGGGAGACATAGGCATGGCTGAAGGGCTAGCTCGGGGAAGGGTTACCCCCGTGTATAGGCAGCAGCACGGCAGCTTTCCCCTTGGCGGAGCACTGGCATGGCATGGCGGCAGCACTGGCATGGCATGGCGGCAGCACTGGCATGGCATGGCAGCAGCACTGGCATGGCATGGCGGCAGCACTGGCATGGCATGGCGGCAGCACTGGTATGGCATGGCGGCAGCACTGGCATGGCATGGCGGCAGCACTGGCATGGCATGGCGGCAGCACTGGCATGGTGGCAGCTCTTGTCGTGTTCTTGGTTGAATCCGCTGTCTCTTCAGACGGGGGCAAGGGCAGGTGAGGTATAGGGAGTAGGGGCTAAGGTGAGGTATAGGGAGTAGGGGCTAAGGTGAGGCATAGGGAATTGGAGGTAAGGTGAGGTATAGGGAGTCGGGGCTAAGGTGAGGTATAGGGAGTAGGGGCTAAGGTGAGGCATAGGGAATTGGAGGTAAGGTGAGGTATAGGGAGTCGGGGCTAAGGTGAGGTATAGGGAGTAGGGGCTAAGGTGAGGTATAGGGAGTAGGGGCTAAGGTGAGGTATAGGGAGTAGGGGCTAAGGTGAGGCATAGGGAATTGGAGGTAAGGTGAGGTATAGGGAGTCGGGGCTAAGGTGAGGTATAGGGAGTCGGGGCTAAGGTGAGGTATAGGGAGTAGGGGCTAAGGTGAGGTATAGGGAGTAGGGGCTAAGGTGAGGTATAGGGAATTGGAGGTAAGGTGAGGTATAGGGAGTCAGGGCTAAGGTGAGGTATAGGGAGTAGGGGCTAAGGTGAGGTATAGGGAGTAGGGGCTAAGGTGAGGTATAGGGAGTAGGGGCTAAGGTGAGGTATAGGGAGTTGGGGCTAAGGTGAGGTATAGGGAGTAGGGGCTAAGGTGAGGTACAGAGTGTAGGGGCTAAGGTGAGGTATAGGGAGACGGGCCAAGTGAGGGGACGAAGGCCTAGCAGGGCAAGCTCAAGGTGGCGGCCGGCAGGTGCACCATGCTCAAGCGCTGCCTCCCCCCATCCCCCCGGCTTCTCTCCTCCCGTGCCTTCTCCCTCGTCTTTCCCCCTTCCCTTCCCTCTCTCCAGGCCAAGCAGTGCCACTCTGAAGACCCAGAGAAGCCTCTAGTCGAGGGCAACTTCCTTGTGTGCACCCTCTTAAAGTGCATGCTGGTCTCCCTGCTTGAGTACGCGGACACTCACCCCCCCGCCCCGCCTCCTCCCCCCCCCCCCCTCTTCCGTCTCTCCAGGCCACGGAGTGCCACCCAGAAGACATTGACCCGGCTCTAGTGGAGGGCAAGTTCCTCGTGTGCGCCCTCTTGAGCCGTGACCTGCAGTCCGTGCTTGACGACGCCCAAACGATGCTGGTGGCTGCTGTAGTCATCATAAGCGGGAGTGCTAAGGCTGACATGCAGCATCGCATGCCCTACTCCAAGACCCCCAGCATCTTGATAAAATACGCGCCGGGGAAGACGATCAAGAGCTACATTGCGGCTGGCGGCAGGTGCGACTCGGGTATTCTTTCCTTGCTCCAAGTTCTCTGAACGCTCTCCTATAGGAACCCCCAACACCTTCATCAGATACGCGCCTGGGAAGACCATCAAGAGCTACATCAGCAGTGAGGGCAGGTCAGACTGCCCACTCCCCCCCCAAACTCGGTGTTCTGAACGCCCTTCTCCGAGACCCCCAGCATGTTCATCAGACACGCGCCTGGGAGGGCCATCAAGAGCTACATTGCTGCTGGCGGCAGGTGAGACATCCCCCCTCCCCCCCCCCTTCCCGTCTCGACAGTGCTTGCTCCAAGTGCCCTGCTGCAAGACCCCCAGCATGCTCATCAGACACGCGCCTGGACGAACCATTCTGAGCCACGTCAGTGCTGACAGCACGTACCACCCACTTTCTCCCTCATCCCTCCCTGCATAGCCCTTAACCACGACCCCCAGCATCTTCATCACATGCGCGCCTGGGACGACCATCAAGAGCTGCATTGCTGCTGGCGGCAGGTGAGTGCGACTTCCCCCTTCCCTTCCCTTGCCCCAAGTGCACTTTTCTGAGACCCCCCGCGTGTTCATCAGATACGCGCCTGGGAGGACGATCATGAGCTTCATCAGCACTGAAACTAGGAGAGGCCCTCTTTCTCCCTCCTCCCCTCCCCTCCTCTCCCCTCCCCTCCCCTCCCTTTATCCCCCACCCCACCCACCCCCCCCAATCTGGTCCTCTCAACGGACTTCTCCCAGCATCACATCAGATTCGCGCCTGGAAGAACCATTCTGAGCTGCATCAGTGTTCAAAGCAGGTAACACTAGCTTTCTCTTTGTCTTCTCCCCCTTCTCCCCCCCTCTCCTTCCCCCTCCCGCGCCCTCCCGGCCGCTCTAACCCCCGAAAACCCCCCAACCCTCCCTTTCCCCCCGCTTCCTCCCCGCTTCCTCCCCTCTTCCTCCCCTCCCCCCGTAGTCCCACAGCCACTCTATCTGCCCACACCGCCTATTACTCCGCCAACGCCCCCCAGGTCGCATACTTCCCCTTCTACCCGTGCCTGATCCACCCCCCCCAACCCGCCCCCCTCCCCCCCTCCCCTTTCCTCCCCTCCGCCCCAAATGCAGTCCCACGGCCACCCTATCCGCCGCCACCGCGTCTTTCTCCACCAATGCACCCCAAGTCGCCTACTTCTCATCCACCGGGCCTCCTCGCAGCCCCTACTACTGGCCCCCCCTCCTGTGGCGCGACTTGCCCACTAACGACATCCTTAAACCCGACGTCATGGGCCCGGGGTTCCTCCTATGGGCAGCGGCGCCGGGCAAATCGGTCGATACCGCTGCAACCGATGCTCCTAATTTTAACTACTGGTCGGGAACCTCCATGGCGACGCCGCATTTGGCGGGAATCATGGCGCTGATCGTGCAGAAGAAGCCGAACTGGTCGCCCGCGCAGGTGATTTCCGCGATAACTACAACGGCTTTTACGCGGAATAAAAACCGGCAACTGATTCAACGGGCAGATGCAACGAATGCGAACGCGTGGGACTACGGAGGCGGGCATGTGGATCCCACGCGCGTGTTGGACCCCGGGCTCACGTTTCATGCCGCACATCGCGACTATGTTAATTTTCTTATGGGGAGGGACCCGCTAAGAGCGATGAAGCGGTTTTGGCGGATGGGAGAGCCCCGTCCGATTATTCCCCAGAACCTCAACCGGGCCTCAATAGCGGTGACGCGTTTACGCGGCGTTGCCGTAGTGTACCGGCGCGTAAAAAACGTGTACAATAAGAAGTCTACCTATAGAGTGAAATTGGACATCCCACCTGAGTTCTCGGTGAAAGTTTCACCGGAGAAGTTCACTATTCTGCCCGGAGAGTCCAAGGTGTTTGGGGTGACCATTATGGGGCTTTCTAGGTTCCTTAATTGGAGAAAGTTTAGGTTTGGTACCATTCTATGGACAGACCAATATGGGCACTCTGTGCCTATGCGCTTGGTGGTCAGGTCTTGCTTTATTTTATGTACAGTGTCATGATTTTACATGTACTATGTTTGCCTGGATTCGACATTCTGAAAATAAAGCCATAGCTGGTTTTATTAAAGCCCGAGTCTAAAATTACAAAGCCGGGGCTCACTTGAAACTTGTAAATAAATTTCATGCAGAAAAACATTCAGTCTTTTTGTTGGTGTTGGGCTGAGAAAAACCCTTAGGATCTTTCCAGAGACTAAGTCCCACTTGTACAAGTTGCTTGAGTAGTGCAGCGGAAGTGTTGAGTAGTTGAACCCTTGCACTAGTATGTGAGAGCAAGTGATTGATTAAAAGAAACAAGCATACAACAATATAAAGAAGATAGAGAGTAGAGCAGTTGTAGAATACAATTGAAGAAACGGTTATCGAGTCGCACAGCGTTTCTGGAGTCGCACAGCGTTTCTGGAGCGTTTCAAGAAACGGTTATCGAGTTGTAGAATACAACATTTTCTTCGAGTGTAGTGTTACACTTCAGAAACGCTCAAGTCTTCGAGGTATTTCCAACACTCCCCTTCGTTTCTGGAGTGCTGACGTGTTCGGGTTCGATGACGTTTATCTGCCCGGTCAGCAACATGCAGTAATCAAACTTTGCCTTCGCCAGTTTCTTCGTCAGGTAATCTGCAGCCATTTCTGTCGTGGGGCAGTAACTGAGTTGAAGTCTCCCCTTCGCGATTTCATCCTTGACGAAGAAAAACCGCAGGGCGATGTGCTTGGTTCGATTGGCGAACCCGTTTTTGTTCGTGATTTTGATCGCAGATTGGTTGTCGCAGAATAACGAGAAGGCGGGCATGGTTGCAATTTTCGCTTCCTCGAGCAGCTCCCGTAGGTAAAGTCCCTCTTTGGTCGAGAGCAGAGAGCGATGTATTCTGTTTCAGCCGAGGATAGCGCAATTAGTTCCTGCTTGCTCCATTGCCATGAAATAGTCCCGATAGGTTCTAGCCCGTTCTGGAGCGACGATTCTCCCTGTCTCCTGCGTGGTCGGCGTCGACATAGCCGAGTAGGTGTACGGACGATGGCGTTACTTTGCTGTAGGTAAGTCCGGTCGTCGGCGTAGAGACGAAGTAGAGCAGTGCCCGATTTAGCTCCTCGAGATCCTCTTGCTCCGACTCCTTCAGGTGTGTCGCCAGTTGGCTCGCGCTGCAGGACAGATCCGGTCGGCAGGTTACCGCTGCGAATAGTAGACAGCCGAGCTTCTGTTGATACTCCTGGATTTGCTTCGCGGAGAGCTTTGCGGAGTTTTCGCTGTTGTTCCCGTAGCGATAGGGAGTCGCAACTGCGACTTGCGTAAGACCGAATTTCTTCGTGACAACGCCTGCGTATTTTCCGGCGTGTAGGTAGAGCGCCGAGTCGTCTTCGACGATGTTTAGACCTAGGAACTGGCTCACGGTGTCTGGCACCGTGAGTGCGAGGTCACGCTTCAGCTCCCCTTCGAACCAGGTGGCGACGTCGGTAGTGGAGCCGACGTAGAGTAGGTCATCGACATAGACGATGAATAGGACGAATTCCCCCCCCCTTTGTAGTCGATACATGCCTTGATCGTGCGGCAGCTGCAGAAAACCGATCCTGACGAGGCGGTCGTGAAGGTGCTGCTGCCAGAGCCGCGGGGCTTGTTTAATTGCGTAAAGGGATTTTGCCAGTTGGCACACTTTTGTGGGATCGTCGATGAATCCGTGGGGTTGCTCGATAAAGGCGTCCATAGGTGCGTACAGGGAGGCGTTGGCGACATTGATCTGGAGCAGTGGCAGTCTTTTCGTGGCCGCGACGGCGAGCAGAATGCGCAGGGAGGTATGTCGTGAGCCTGGGGCGAAAGTCTCCGTGTAGTCGGTTCCGTATTGTTGGTCGAAGCCTCGTACGACCCAGCGAGCCTCGTTGGTCATGTAGTGCACGATGTGACGAATTTCTGTACGTCATCTGCCATGTGGGGCCAGTAGTAGTGTTTGGCGATACCGGTGAGCGTCTTGTTGCTACCGAAGTGTCCCGCATACAGGACGTCGTGGTATTCTTCGAGTAGTAACTGGCTCAGTGGAGGGTAATTAGGTACCCAGATCTTTGTTGATCCTTTTCGGTACGCGATGTCGTTGTCCCACTGTAGCAGATGTCGCTTTTCTGCCAAGGGAATTTCGGGGTCGATGGTGTACCCGTGTGTGAAGAGTCCCTTGAGGAGTGGATTTATCCCTTCAACTTGGATAGCGGCAACGTGTGCAGGCCGACTAAGCTCATCGGCTTTGTTTTTATGGCCAGGCTTGTACACGATGTCATAGTGGAAGTGCGTCTCGTGGAAGTCGATCCACCGAACTTGTCGCCTGGAGAGGCTTGGTTGCGTCTTCAAATATTTTAGGCTGCAATGGTTGGTGTAGACTGTCGTCTTGCGTCCTTCGCGATAACATCTCCACGTTTTGAAGGTGATGATGATAGCCAGGGCCTCCTTGTCGTGTATCGAGTGGTTGAGTTCTGCCCCGTGTAGTTTCTTGCTGAGGTAGGCGATTGGTTGCAGTCCATTCCCCTGGTCTTGCATCAAGACTGCTCCCATTGCCTGGTCGCTGGCGTCAGCTTCGATGACGTAGTCGCGTTTGGGGTCTGGCAAGATGAGTACGGGTGCGGATGTAAGTGCTTGCTTCAGCTGCTCCACGGCTTCCTGGTGCTTCGGCTCCCATTTATAGGGCGTGTTCATTTTTAGCAGATTCGTGAGTGGCGTTGCGATTTTTGCGTATTGTGGCATGAACCTGTTGTAGTAGTTAGCGAAGCCAAGGAACTGCTGTAACTCCTTCACATTCTCGGGTGTCTTCCACGAACGCACGGCTTTGATTTTCTTGGGGTCGACGTGAACTCCTTGAGCGCTTACAATATGTCCGAGAAATTGGACTTTCTCGAGGGCGAAGTCGCTCTTTCATAGTTTGACGTAGAAGCGTTCTCGTCGAAGAATCTCGAAGACGCGTCGTAAGTGTTTGACGTGTTATTGCATGTCGCGTGAGTAGACGAGAACGTCGTCCAGGTACACCACCACGCATTTGTTCAAGAGTGGGCATGGGATGTGATTCATCTCTGCTTAGAACGTTGCAGATGCGTTGGTGAGTCCGAACGGCATCACCAGATACTCGTACGATTCGTATTGAGTTCGGAAGGCCGTTTTGTGAACGGAATCGTCCGCCATTCTTATCTGCCAGTATCTGGATCGCAAATCTAATTTTGAAAATACCGTGGCTCCCCGAAGCTGGTCGAGCAGATCATCGATTCGTGGAATCGGGTACTTGTTCTTGATGGTCTGCTTGTTGAGAGCTCGGTAGTCGATGCACATGCGCAGGCTTCCGTCTGGTTTCGGTGTGAAGAGTAATGGGGCACCGTATGGTGAAGTGGATGGTCGGATGAGTCCTTTGGCGAGGAGGTAGTCGATCTGCTTCTTCATGTCGGCTAGCTCTGCAGGGCTAAGCCGATATGGTGCTCGGAAGGTCGGCTTTGAACCTGGTTCCTCCACGATCTCATGTTGGTGCGTTCGGTATGGCGGTAGCTCGTCCGGGAGGTTGTCGGGAAGAATGTCTTGGAACTCCTTCAGTAAGTCCTTGATCTTTTCTGGAGGTTCCGAGGCTTTCTCTCCGTCATTCTCCACATTTGCTGCTATCGCCAGGAATCCGGTGTCGGTTCGCTTGACGTCCTTCTCGAATCTGGCGAGTGTCTCCACTGGGATATCTGCTGTATCGTCCCATTTGGGTAGCTGGACTCTCCTTCCTTTGTTGTGGATGCTTGCGGTGCGGTTTACCCAGTTGATCTCGGGGTTGAATCGTTTTAGGAAGTCTCACCCAAAGATCAGGTCAAGCCCTTTGATGTTGGTGATGGGGAGTGCAGGTTTCCAGCGCAGTGGCCCGATTTGTAGGTGTAGCACTGCTTCGCCGTGTACTGGTAACTTGCTGCCGTCCACCATCGTTGCAGAAAACGCTGATGGCTTGTACTCTTCTCGAAGTCGGTCGATGGTTGCCTTGTCGCATACAGTGTGCAATGCTCCGCTGTCCACGAGTGCTTGGAGACGTTGTCCTTTGCAGGTGACCTCGAGCATGAGGGGCAGGCGTTGCTCGAAGTACCCAAAGATAGTTTCATTGATTGGGTCATAGGGTACATCCCAATATTCGTTGCTTCCTACTCCTGAGCTGGCAGTTGGCCGAGGCTGCTTGGAGAAAGGTTCTTCTCCTGGGCCCGGAGTCTCCGTGACGACAGTTCGTGTCGTTGACGAAGTTGCCGAGTTGGATGCATCCGAAGAAGGAGTTTGGGGTTTTTGCAGCTTCTTGCAGATCCCCAGCTTCCTTTTGAGATGCTTCAGCTCCATCGACGTCTTCCCTGGGGAACGGGTAGTCGCTGTGGGCTGGTGTCGGGAGAGGACGTTGACTCGGTGGAAAGGTCGGCTTCTTTCCACACTCCTTAATTTGGTCCCCAAGTTCTCCAGTACCTGTATGATCTCCACAATTTTATGCTTCTTCTGGAGTCCCTCCCGTAATTTCTCCAAGGCTCTAGCCTATCGAGAATTACAAGTTTTCATTAAAGCATCTTTATAGGATAGCTTTAACGAATCCTTATAATTTCTTGGGTCTTCAAGGAGTTTCCCCGTCTCGGCAGAGTCCTTTTTCGCGGAGTTAGATTTTTCCTCGGCGAATTCCTCTGGCAAAGACTGGTCGTGGGGTGGAGATCTTTCCCCATCATTTTCTCCTGTTCGCGTCAAATCAGCTGCGTCAAAGTTGATTTTTCCAGAGGTCCACGACTGCTTTTGGATCTTTTCTTTTTCACCAGCTAGATCCGCAATTACTGGTGAGTCCCGTTTTTTGGCTTCTGATTGGCCGAAGGATTTCCGCTACCGTTGCGTGCCCGATACTCGGCGCGTGCGGCTTTCATTTTGTTGCAGTCAAAGATTCGATGACCCGGCACCACGCAAAAATCACACGTGTACTTGGTGTTTTTCGTACGTGGCCGCCCGTCGAACTTGTCAATTTCCATCGGGTCGGCAAACGTGGGGTGAGCCGAGCGGTCGCCCTGTCGCGTACTGCCGACG